TTTTTTTTTTTTTGCAGAGGCAGACAGATGGCTGAACCCAGGGCGAAGCTTCCAGTCAGGTACCAGTCTGGAGAGCCTGTGGGATGAGATGCCCGAGCCGGGCGGACGCCCCTGGGCCAAGGAACCGGGTGCCGCCATGGCCATCACCAGCCTGATCAGAGATCTCAGCCTGGGTGACGCCGCCTTGAGCAATGCCCACCCCTCCGCTCCCCCCAGCACTTCGCACTACACCACTGTAGCCACGAGCCAAGCGCCCACGGCGCCCCCCAGCAAGCGCCAATGTCGCTCTTTGTCACTGTCCGACGAATTTGGCGGCTTTCGCTCGTCGTGGCGACCTCAGGGCTCCCGAGTGTGGACGGCGGTGGAGAAGCGAAGGTGCTACAGTGGAGGGAGCGTCCGTGCCGGTGGGGGGTTCTCCGGTGGCCACTGCCTCGCCATGCAGCGTAGCTCCAGCTTCAGTTTTCCTTCTCGTACCAGCATCTCCACGGACGGACCGTTGGACCTGCCCTTTTTCAACCAGCGACTGCCTGCCCACCCGCACTTCACCGCCTCCCCCGTGTCCCCCACCACGCCTTCCTCGCAATTCCCCCAGTCCTACCGTGGCCACTGCCTGCGACCTCTCTCCCTCTCCCACGAGCAGATCAGCCTGCCCCAACTCCAGAGGGAAGAAGCTTCAGAGGCCAGCTCTCCGGATTCCACCCCGGAACTGGGACGGCGGTCCGGCCAGAGAGGCGACGGGAAGGGGTGCCTGTCTCGTAGCAGGTCGCAGCCCTGCGTGCTGAACGACAAAAAGATCGGGATGAAGCGGCGGAGGCCAGAGGATGCCCAGGAGCAAAGGCCCTCGCTAGACCTGGCAAAGATGACTCAGGTGAGTTGCAATTGGCCGACGCGCGCAGACAAAACGCACACAGGAAAACATTTGCCGAGGTCTCGTGGTGAAAGTACTTTGGATTTGAGCAGCAGGCTGGATTTACACAACATTGTTTAGGAGACGGGGTCACAGTTCAAATCTGCACGTTCTTCCTGTGCTTGCTTTCCCACATCCCGAAAGCATATGTTAGGTTCACTGAAGACAGTAAATCAGGGACGTCCAAACTTTTTTTTCACTAGTCTCTCCGGGTCGTCCCGGGGGCCTCCTGCCGCCGGGACGTGCCCGGAACACCTCAGCAGGCGGGAGGCGTCCAGGAGGCATCCTAATCAGATGCCT